TTTTCCAATACTCTGTACACTTAAAATCAATACTCGGTACACTTTCTTATATCTTTTTTGGCCTGTGTCTTTTTGTACTTTCACACTTTTTGCCTGAAATTTGGACAAAGCATACTTGGAATGTGAATAAAAAAAATGCTCGATTCAATTTTTTTTATATTGGTAACATAATAATTTCTAACGATTCTACAGTATCGCGGTCAGTATTATCTAGTGAGCAGCGGATCGTTTAGGGGTAGTTTAATCAATTTTACAAATACCTGTAATACTTTTACGTCTTTTAGAGCTACAAAAATACCTCTAGATATATAAAACCCGTTGAGATAAATGAAATAGCCATAAATTTGGAAAATATCGGGGCTAAACTTACCTTCGTTCCCCGTTCAAAGTCGCGAAATGGGATGAAAGTCCTCATAATATCGAGCAATATCCGGGGTACGGTATACGGCAGTGATCAACGTTATTTTTTATTCTTTCTTAGGGATTGTCGTCGTTTTCAAACTTTGCATAATTGGAACGGCGGGTAAGTATCTATTTTAAACTTGTAAATTCTACCTTGAAAACTTGGTTAAAATTACTTAAATCTCGTTAGCACAACAAATGAATCAGAAAGCTTATCTTGAGTATCTTAGGGGGCAGGGGACATATCCGAATGATTGCCCCGATCAATTTTTTAAATAACTTAGACATGGTGTTTTGAAAGTACTGAAAATTTCTGATATTTCTCTGTCATTGTAATTCTTTCTTGTTTGTGTGTAGGAAATGAGAAGTATTTTGGGTTTTTTTACGCGAAACTAAGCATTTTGGTATCTTTGTGTGTAATTGTGACTCTCCGAATGGAGGTGAAAAAATGAAAATCAAGCTTTGACAGTTGGCGCCAAACAAGAAAGAAATTTCGGATTAATTTTGTGAAAAATCTAAACGTATGACAGACACTTTATTGGTCATTTTTAAAAACACTGCGTGTTAGTGATATTTTTTAAGAAATCGGGCGGATTCTTGAGTATACTTCACCTTCATGAAGATTGCCCATATTGGTATATTTTAGGTGTGCTTTTAGCTGGGTGGGGTAAATATAAATTGCTGTCAGTCATCTATTTAAAGAGGAATGCATGCAAACTATTATTTTCTTCAATGTATGTCATATATCATTGAATAATGCTGTGCAACTGGTTATCTGCCTGTGAAACAGATTTTGAAATATTTAGAATTGTGTTACTGGATACACTGAAATACAAAATTGTTCATTTTTAGGTCTCCTTTCCCCTTATCAACTAGTATATGAGCCAAGACGTTTTGTTTATCTCAATTATATCAGTCGGAACATCTCGGCTTATATCAATGTATCCGAAGACTGTCGGAAGGGGCCGAAAAAGTACGATTGATACGACCAATCTAATTAAAATATTTGTTACATAATATGATACTTGTTCAATAAATTACTAGGCATACCCTTCGCTTATTAATCCTTGAGTAAATCTTTCAGATTTTATAAGATAAACAGTTTTTTCTTCTTAAAACCTTTTCAGAACTCTTATTTATATTTATTTATCATTCCAACGATTGTAGCTCTACAGTGTTACAACTGTATTAACATATCCGATGCGGACGAGTGTTTGTCGATAACAGAATGTGGGGCAAGTCAGGTAAATGTTCTTAAATTTAGGAATTCAGCTTGTCTAAAAATCAGGTCAGTCAGTTAATAAAAGAATACTCCTGAATACTAATTATTTCGTTAAGTAGCTTTAGGTGTGGTAAAGTGCTCTTTGCCTCTCAACAACAGTGTCGGTTTAAACCCTACTGATGTCACGACCATTTTCCCATATATGACACAACAATACTGAGTAAACGGACAAAGGGAGAGAAACGTCCGAGGGAAAACTGTCCGGCGGCAAATGTCCTATAATCATACAAATATGCTACAAGACTAGTAGTGTAGTGTTTAAGGAAGACAGACTGTTTATGCAAGTGTACCACGTGTGTGAAACCTAGATGTGTAACCACCTTTTTTCGGGCAGGGGGTCTGTTTTCAGTTTGACTTCCTGTAAAATTAACAGAAATAACTGAATATAAGAAGAGTTTTCATTGGTCATTTCAAAATTACAAAATGAAATATGGGAACCTCATTGGCCATTCTAAAATAAAATGTAAAAGATAGTTCTTGTCAGTTCTGACCTAAAATGTAAAGGATAATTCTTGCCATTATGAATTAAGTTGTAAAGGTTATTTCACGGGAGGGCTTTTTTCACGGGAGGGCTTTTGTCCGCCTTGTCATTTTTGGACGGGAGGGCTTTTGTCCGGGAGGGCTTTTGTCCGTTTCCCTGTTCAAGTGTTTATAAAAAATGATTGTCTTACCGACAGCGTAGATGTAGGTGTTAGAAATTGAATTCACTTAACGAAACACGACAGGTTTGTTTAGAAACACATACATTATAAAGTTTTCCTTTTTCAAGACTAATAACCCTACAAAAATTATAACGTCAAGTTAAACAGTTTTACTCCGGTCGAGTACCCTTCTTGTTTTCTATTATTAAGAAGTAGTTAAATGACATCTTTTATTCCCAGTCGTGTTACATGGACAAAATGTCATCTGGACAAACCGTTACCCTAGGATGTACAGACAACCAGGTATGTCTTAATCTGTAAGATAATCAATAAATTATTACATGTATGTATTATATTAAATCATATTTCTTCTTTGAATCTTGAATGAAATAAATTAATTATATCGCGGACCTTTTTTAATTACATAGACAAACTACATGAAGTGCAAATAGTGATAATTATTCTGAAATCATAATTCAAGAAGTGAGCATCAATCTTTTATAGATGTTCAAACCGAAAAGATTGTGGTAGCGGCGTATCGCACTTACATGATGCAAAGCCTATCCTTTACCAATGTGTTAAGGTCTTGTTCTAAATATACTGGCTTGTCAGTAAACTTCGTGTTTTTGTTAGTTTATTTTATTTTAAGATAATGATGTCTGGTTGTAGTGGCAAATCTTGGGAAAATGTCAGCCGATAGTTGATTTCCAAAATTAGGTTATTAACATCGTAATTGCGACTATATCAGGTCGTCGTGGTGTTTATTTAGAGCACATGCATATAAATGACAATACATTTACAAATCTACATTGTAGACAGATTTGTTAAGATATCGGTCCGCCTACGATTAGAATGTTTCCTTTGAGCGCATTATATGAACACATTTTTAAAGTACATATCTATATCCAAGATAATTTGTATTTTTAACGGGCAGCAATGTAGTGTGACACCAGGTGCGGCCGGAAGTTTAGTTGGAAGAGGTGTTAACAGACGACAACAATCTCAATGTCACGAGTGTTGCAGCATGGATAAATGCAATAAGAACCTTTGTTCTCATCTGACACGTAAATACTTTTCCTCAAAACAAAAGTTTGGAATTGTGTTTTCCCCAAACGAATAACCAATTTTTTTTAAAGCTGTATTAAAATAGAATTATGTGTTATCAAATAATGTCTGTTTTTTTATAGTTCAACACTAAGTGGTTGGAGAAAAAACCTCTGATTTCATTAATATTTGTGAACTTGGTATTATATCGCGTATGTGTGTACGTGTCAAATTTGAGTGAGAAAAATGCATTAGAAATGTCCTAAAAATCATCTTTTATGATATTAATTTTTCTTTTTATGCAAAAAAATTGTGGAGATATTCAATATGAATAGTTGTATCAATCGATCAATATTTAATTATTCATAAATTTTCAAATTAAAATGTTTGGGTATCAATACATTAAGGGTAGTAGAATTGATTTTCTAGCTAAATCTGGATTATATTTGAATTGCTTAAGAAAAATATAGTTTGTGTAAAGTTTTATACTGCACGCCTACATATCAGCCAAACTATTTGGAGAAAATCAAACCTGAGGAAATTGTACTAAGATTTAAAGAAGAGTAGAATATTCTAGATTCAAGACAAGTAATGATTTACATGGTATGTGTGATGAATGATTGATCTTATCATTTTATCTCTACTGCGTGACTAACGCACTTAGGGCAAATTTTACACATTGTGACATCCTTTTGGTGATTTACATAGATTGTTAGTGCCGTTTGTGTATATAACTTTTCTTTGTTCACACCACAGTATTTTGATTTTAAATATATTTTCAAAATTTTAATAAGAATTAGGATTCATCTGGAGGCATGCCGCTTTAAGATAATATTTTTGATGAAAGAAAATTTTGTTACAGCTGGAACATGCATTGATGACGTTAAAGTGGACTGCGCATATTTGAACACATTTTTCAACATATGTCAAGATATTCATCACGCAAAATTAGTATGTCCTAAGTTCTGCAAACTATGCTCATTGGGTAGGTATATGTAAGCTATAGCTCCCGCAATATATATATATACCTCCTTTTATCTTTCGCGGGCATGGCTTATCTTCCTCTATATATCACATCCTGCTTTAATTGACATAAATTTGTTTATTCAAGTACGATAAGAATAGAACGAGTCGAGATAGAGTAGTATATGCATTTGATATAGATGTTTTTGGATTCCAATGTGGCTATGTGGGGGTACGATAGGCATTTGATATACCTTTTGATCCCTCGAGATGAAGACGAGGTTAAATTCAATATGTATTCAATTAATACATTTTATCCCGCAAGCACAAAGTAAAGTATACACTGTTTAAAGATTCGCGATCATTCGATATGAAATATAATTTTGCAAAACAAAACAAATGGACAACAGACTAACACAGCTGTTTTTCACTTTATTCTTATTTAGTGGATGGAAACTGGGCAAGATGGTCTCCGTGGTCACCTTGTGATGTCACATGTGAAAACGGGACTCAAACACGGAAAAGGACATGCACGGATCCTGTCCCAGCACATGGGGGTTTAGACTGTATCGGCTCTAACATATCTACTAAATCTTGCTCAAAGGAACTTTGCCCAGGTAAGTCTTTTTGCAAGTATTTTTTTTCTCAAAACTTTTATCTAATATTTAATGAATGTTTCGTGCACTTTTATTTATAAATTGAACCTATTAATCACCCTGAATTACTTATAGCTTTAAACATGCATACGTAATTTGATAGGTTTCACAACCAAGAAGGTTTAAAAATCATTGTAATTCAAAAGCAAAGAACAGTTATAATATCCGTTTATACTTAAGCCTTATTTTTTCCGACTAACTAATATTGTATTTCTCCATTTCGATAGATATGTGTATAAAGGGTTAAAACCATTCCGCAAACTATTTTAGTGCATGGTGGGTGGACAAAATGGTCGAACTGGGACGCGTGTTCTGTAACATGTGGTGTAGGTATAGAAAGACGGCATCGTAATTGCTCGAACCCGATACCAGACAGAAACGGACTTCAATGTTTCGGCGACACATTAGATGATAGAATATGCTTACCAGGTCCATGTGCAAGTAGGTTTATGTACACATTAGATTATAGAATATGCTTACCGGGTCCATGTGCAAGTAGGTTTAATTAATTGCTTCAGTTTGTCATAACGTTAAGCATGGACGTTTATTTACTGTCCAAAACATACATTTTCTTGTCAAATCTAAATTTAGATAAAAAAATGGAAAAGCTATTCAGTGACACACATTTTAAATCAACACCATTGTGTTTTAATGTATTTGGATTATTATGGAATCTTCATCGTTGAAATTGACATAACTCATGAATCATCACCTAAATCATAATGTTGATAAATTTTAATGTCACCATTAAATAAGAAATACTTGTAAATGTAATCTAAAATGATATTAACATGATAGTTTATAACAACTCTATAAGATATTGTATTGCAGCACCTATCACATAAAATTATACATGGAACAAACAATAATCTAATTTTGTCCTCTATGCATCATTTGTGCTATCGATTTTGTGTCACCTCAAGAGAGAAGTGGCGACATATAGGAGTCACTTTTCCGTCGTGTCTCCGTCCGTCCGTCACAGAACATGTCCGGGGTACTCCTCAAAAGTACTAGTGCAATTTTATCCAACTTGACAGGAATGATATAGTCGGCATTTCTGGTTCAATGATATTTGACAAAGTTATGACCCTTTAATGATTCTTGTTTTCAAAGTTTGTCCGGACTACTCCTCTTATACTACTAATTGCAATTTCAGTGAAACTTTACAAGATTGATATGTAGCTGACGTTTTTGCGCATATTACACGGATTTTCTGCTTGAGTGATGTTTAATTGAGTTATGACCCTTGAATAAAAATGTGTCTTTTAGTGTTGCCACCTAAACAAAAGCTTGTATTGACTACTCTACACAATTTCATCCAAGCTTTATAGAAATACTTTTAACTTAGTGTAGTTGTGCCTATCATGGGTATTCTCTGGTTCAATGATTTTTGTCAGTTATGGCCATTTAATCATTTTTATTTTTAAAATTTGTCCGGACTACTCCTCATAAACCACTAATGCTATTTCAATCAAACTTTACAGGATTGATTTGTATCTTAAGTACTTGTGCATATTGAATAGGTTTTATGTTTGAATCAATTTTTGCTGAATTTTGGCCCTTGTATAAAAAACGAGTTTCGGCTTGTTAACCTGTTTTGTGTCTCCTGCTACACAGTAGTGGCTATCATGAGGTGACGCAAAATATCACTGATCGTTTCTCATTTTTTATTTAAATATCTTGTAACAGTTTTAAAAAAATCTCATTTGCCATATACATGAATTACCTTTTTCTATTGCTTTCCTGTCGTTGGTATAGTATTTTGTACAGCGAGATGATGCGGAATTACCCGGACTTGGTTTATAATTCTGACAAATGTCATGTTTTCCTCTTTAAATTTGTAACAGAGCAAAGTTTGATATTTCATCTATTTAGTCACTTGAAGATTGACTTACTGTGCAATCAAGTTTGAAGTTTTCTTTTTGCGACTTTTATTTATTCAAAAACGTCGTCATTAAAGCGTCCGGAAAACGGCACTTTCATAAACATTTGACGACAGCCCGAATAATTACAATGTATATACAACAGAGACATCAAATTTGACAAAAGCGACCAGACACCAGTATCTTGGTAGTCGAGTAAAAGGTTTTTAGAAGTAAGGACTTTTTTTCAGACTGTTTGGACTAATCTAAAAGATAATGCATATCGTTTGCGAGATAGGAAATGTGCATGACGTAAATGTTCTCCGTCGCTGTGGCGCATGAGAAAAAAAAACAATAAAAAACAAAAGTCACGTCGCGTGCAGTCTTGAATAAATTTTATTGCGTTTTTTTAAAAAAAATTCTTTTGATTTTAAGCTTATATTTAGATAATTTTTTTTATAAAAAACGTTTCCTTTTTTAATCGAAAAAACCCAAATTTAAATTTTCTGAAAACGAAAAAACCCACATTTTTTTTTTTTAATTTTTTTTTTTAACATCTCATTTTTTTCTGAAAATTTTTTTTTAATGATATAAAAAATTTGAAAATTTGTATGCTTTCAAAAAAAATTTTGGGCGCAATTTTTTTTACCCCAAAACCCCCCCCCCTGCACACACAGTCTTTATGTTTGGGGGTGTAAGCTCAATGCAGGGGAATGGTTTTGGGAATTTTTCGAAAAAAGGCCCCTGTAGTTTTAAGAAACCATTATTCCCCCAAATTTGGTTAAAAAGCATCGATCAATATTGCGTACAGCGGCAAATACTTTTATAACATTTTAGTATGTTTTAGTAAGTTCAGACTGCGCTGCATACGCTTTATTATGCTTACTTAAATATGCATGTGGTGAGCATAATGTGTTTAATTGTTATGATTCTTGTTTCCTTGAAAATAGGATATGTAACGCAACAATACAGTGTTTATAACATAGACATTTAATATATTATATAAAATCTATGGCTTAATTCCGGGTATTTCTAGATCATCCCTCGGACTTGCTGCTATCCTTCCAATCTAATTAAATATAAAATCGTTTAAAATATGTTCACAACACCGTCTATTTGATTTAAGAGAAAACTAATTGTACACATGACTTTTATATAAATGTTTTTTTTTTGTATTCAAGATGGTGGTTGGACTGACTGGGGACAATGGAGCACCTGTTCAGTGACGTGCGGGGACGGTTTAAAGTCTAGATCACGTACCTGCACAAATCCGTCACCCTCGCCTCACGGAAAATATTGTGATGGAAATCCTTTCGAAGATGTTGTCTGCACAAAAAGCAGTTGTAGTATGTGATAACATTTATATAACATTCAATAGCATTAGAATAAAAAAAAACTTATTTTCATTCTGAAATTGGCCTGATAATATGACAAACACCTATTTCTCTACACCTTCGCGTCATCTTTACCTCATATTTTTTGTTTATACATAATTAATTTTAGTGCAATTGTGTAGGAAGCTTTTAGTTTATAGACACACATCTGGAACCAATCAGTACTGAGTGCAAAATTTCTTGCTCAAGAAAATAATGACTCGCCCTTGAAGGGGTTTGAACCAACGCGGATAGCGATACTTAGGTAACCAATGGTAACTAGTCGGACGTATTAACCACTTGATAATGTCGCCATTATTTTATGTTTTTAATCATAATTTGTGAAGTATTTGGGTATAACTAATGTGTCTAAAATGTAAGGTTGTGATTTGCATACTGAAATGGTTGAACAATTTCAGAGAAAAAGAAGGTGACAGCTTGTTAAAAGCATATAATTAAATGGATAATATCGCTCTTTAAAATGATATGAACTTAAGTTCTTCAAGGGAATTCTTATTCGTTATGTGCTGATGAAAGTTATTCTTGCCTTTCTATTTTTCATCACTTTTATAATAATTCATGTATTTTTGTAATTATACAGTACAATAGTAATCAAAATTAACAAAGTAACTCATACCATTCAGTAGATAATATTGACAAATTTTGTTTTACAGGTCCAAATATAGTATTTAAAGCAAAGAATGTAACAAACAAAAATCCTGGCATTGGAGGCACTGTAATATTTGGCTCTACATTTGTTAATGAAGGAGATGCTTATAATACATCTACTGGAATCTTCACTGCGCCTGTCAACGGAACGTACTCATTTAGTGTACAAATTTGTGCACAAAACCAAAAGGAGGTCAGAGTAGCTATCATTATAGATGGGACGACATATGCTACCTTATATATATATGATTATTATTCGTACCCATGTAATAGTGCAGATACATTTGCTGTTTTACATGCACAGTCAAAAGTATCTATTGAATGCTTGCGAGGTTGCTCGGGCGGTAAAATATATGATGCTTCTGACCGTATGGACTCGTTCTCTGGATATCTGGTTCACCAATAAAATTTTGTCAGTTTTCTCTTCTTTTTAAAAAGAGTTAGTCCATATCTATTTCTTATCGTCGCGGCGTTGTTATCGGTTATCACAACAAAAGACATTTGTTGACTAAGCACAAAAGTCTTGTCCCCTCAAATCGTCCCCGACGAATACAATATGATCACAACCATAAATATATAGAATGAACAACAGAACAATTTAGTTATGAAATAATGTTTATTTTTATATGATCTAAATATAGCTGCAATCTCATTTGTCCAAACAGTAGTCAACAGAACTTTTTATAAAATCATATTTACTGGGTGTAGTATCATATTCACTGGCTGATTTGGATTTGACCAGTCTAAAAATATTTTGAGACTCATATTCAATGACCATACACCGTAGACTGTTAATTACGCGTGTTAATTAAAAAAATAATTGTTGCTTTTTTTCTTTATGGCATATTTCTCGATTAAAATATCAATACTTTACTATTATACTTAAGGGTTACACCGCAATAATGAGTATAAACTTGAATTATCTTTGTATGCGCAGCGTTCGCGTATTCGTTGAACGCCTAACACATGCGTCTTTCTTCCCGCGCTTCAACGAGGCAAAATTTGTACATGTATAATTATATTAAGGTTGCACTTTTGTGATTTTTTTAATTTCTTAGCCTATTCATATAATAAAACCAATTATTGCCTATAACCATTGAAAAATTTATGTAAAATTCAAACCGGGATAAAGTCCTTTTGACTCGGCTATCGCTCGGTTTAAAAATTTTCATCTGCCCGGGGAATATCACCCTCATATTCAATAGCTAAATAGTCAAATTGTATAAAAGTGTTTGCAGGACTTGGGTTTTAGGCTGTACCATTAAAAAGAACCAAAAAATATATGTTTCCCAAATAAAACCCTCTTTCAAAAAATACATAATTTATATTTTCCTAATTTACCCTGTAAAAAACTTCAGTCAAAAGTCAAAACTATTTGCTAAAGAAAATGAAAAAAGTACATCTTTTATCTAATTTTCCCAAAAAAAACTTTTTAAAAAAAATCTTAATTTTCTTCCTCGGACATGTTGACAGTCGATAAACCAAGCGCTGAATGAATTTGCAACGCTGTTCCGAAAATCACGTGCTGATTTAGGCGCTAATAGCGCCCTCATGTGATCTGACGGGAACAAAAGCAAGGGGAATAATTTTCTTCTAATGCAATTTATTTAAACAAAGAAAATTTTATCTTTATGGGTGATCAACTTTTTTCAATTGACAGTGAATTTGAAACATTGAAGTGTACTGTTAACATTGTCTATGTTCTGGAAATACGTTCAAAACTATGGGTAAAATATGAATTTGTCCGAAAATTATAAAATGTTTACATGATATAAAATACAAAACAAAGAAAACTTTAGAAACTTTATAACAGGTAGAAACACAGCAAATGACTTACGACTAATAACAATCAAGGCTAATTTGTATTATAAGTAATTCTTTTGAAAATAATAATAATGATTCGAAAACATTTTGGAAATCATTTTAATAACTTGGTGACCATGTAAAAGGCAGTTCATCTAGTATTATAATAAAAAATAGTAGTTATTTTCATATATGTTTGAAAATATGTGATGAAATCAACTTTGATAAACGCTAAATTGATGAAGTATTTAACTATATATTATGGCGGCTGATTTGTGCCATTCGTGTTTTCGCCCTGCGACCTCGCCAAGCGAAAAGTCGAGAATGAACAAATTTAAATGTCGCGGTCGCGGACCAAAAACAGGCTTATTAGTTTAATACATAAAACTTCGCCACGCGGTGGCGCGGGGCGAGATTCAAGAAATAAAACGGCGGGGGCGCGGAGGAAAAACACGCTCATTAGCGACCCCGCTAATAAGCGTGTTTTCGCTTCGTGCCCCCGCCATTTTAACTTGTTAATTATAAACTTTTCGCTTTGCGGGGTCGCGGGACGAAAACATGCTAATTAGTGGGGGCGTGCAGCAAAGTTTTATTTAATAACTTTCGCCCCGCGGCCCCGCTTATAAGCGTGTTTTCGGCTCCGCGCCCATGCAGGGCGAACTTTTTTTTAATAAACTTCGCCCTGCGCCCTCGCTCATTAGCGTGTTTTCGCTCCGCGCCCTTGCCATTTTAACTGGTTGATAATCGACTTTTCGCTTCGCGGGGTCGCAGGACGAAAAATCGCTAATATAAGCGGGGGCGCGCGGTGAAGTTTTATTTATTAAACTTCGCCCTGCGCACCCGCTTATTAGCGTGTTTTCGTCCCGCGACCCCGCCGTGTTATTTCTTAAATCTCGCTCCGCGCTCCCGTGGGGCGAAGTTTTATTTATTAAACTTCACCCCGCGTCCTCGCCTATAAGCGTGTTATCGCTCCGCGACCCAACCATTTTAAATTGTTACGTTTCGACTTTTCTATTGGCGGGGTCGCGGAACGAAAACACGAATGGCACAAATCATCCACCATCATATATATTGAATTTCATCAAATCTTACTACTGCAAAGCTACCTACAGAATTAAGTAGTTCATGCGAGCAGGCTGTTCATTTATTTCTTTCATCGTAACCTTTAAAATTTTATTTTCCATTGATAGCTTTAAAAAATATTTTAAATTTTGATAAGCAAGATTCAATGAATTTCCTTATTCACACTGTATCTCGTCTCGTTTTGTTATAGTTGGTGCATCGAATATCACATTTCCCTCAACACATATTGTAATTTTGGCACTAATACAGGGTACTGTACGTGATGATATAAAGGCAGGAAGAGATTTTCCTCTTTTTTAATAAAAATGGATAAACTGTTTTTGGCAGGAATGTTTAATTATTTCTATTTTGTTTTTATTTTTTAAACATTTTGTACCAAATCTATTCCTATCTTAAACGGAAGGACATATTATATAAGTTTTAATTAGAGTTAGAATAGGTTTTATGTTATCGAATAAAGGTCATCTTGTGGCATGATTTTATTGGATCTTCAAAAGTCTTTGATTCAGTGGACCATTTGTTCATTTTGTATGAAAATACAAGCCTTAGCTCTGATATTCAACATTCGATTAGGTCATATATTTTATACAGGCAAACAAATTGCGGACGTATATTACCTTTCTCTTCCATGAGTTACTTGTGGTGTTCTTTTAATATATGTGAATGATGTGCTGCTGTGGTTTTAAATAACAACATCTATATGCGGACAAACTAACTTTTTCTGTAAGAACCGAAACCAAGTTGTATTATTTTAAATTGTCAGTCAAAAGTTATTTCCTTAATATGTAATTATCGCTTTCAATGATGCTTATCATAATAATATGAGCGGTTTTAAACATTTTTAATGCCATTGCGTACGACTGAAATAAATCTTATCTAAGGTTATTAGGTAAGAGCGTGCGTCAACATGATACATATAGTGTCCTGTGAGTGAAAGCCATGGTCGAGATACTAGTACATGTTTTTAGTGACGGAGATCTTAGTGTATGAAATTATTCGTATCGTCCTCTAACCCTGACTTGCATATGACAACAGGTTGTAAGTACTTGTACAATACCTAGGAACACTTTGTATGAGAACTGACAGCTATTTAAAAAAAAATCCTGCTCTATATTATAAGTGTTTTTTCGTATAATGAAATGTTATGATAAACACTTATTATTCCAAATAAATAATGAAACATTTGGAAATAATAAAACATGTTAGATGGATACACCACAAAATATTCATACAAGCTATTAACCAAGAAAAAGATAAAAACTGTATGTTTTCCTTTAAGAAAATGAAGCGAAATGCAACAAAATGTGTATTGCAACACAACTTGAGGTTAGAATCAGCAAATGTCCTCAAGCATCCTACCACAGTGTCATTTGGAGCGTTTGTAATTTAAATTCAAAAATAGAATTTATCGACTATGAAAACAAACTATACATTCTACTACACGTTAGTCGTTCATTTAATGGTCACAGTTATTTTACAGAAGTCTGTTAGTACATTTGTCCTTTTAAAATTCATTTTCATGGGTACTAACAAAATTTACACTATACACATTATCGAAGTATTCATTATCTTCATAATCGGGAAAACGCACGTGACGTCAAAACAACTTTTCAGAAAGCGGACGTTAAAATTTTTGAAAATAAATTATCTAAACGCCATAAAACGTCAATATTCACTAGGAATGATGTGATTCGATGCAGATTTTCACGATCTTCTAGAATATATCAAAATTATTCTAATTTTGAAAGTAATTTGGACAATGTCAGCCAAAAATGAACTTGCGCTGGAAAATTCTGAACCGGAAGTGGACTCACCGGAGACAAATGATGAGAAAACTCATGACATTTCCACTGAGATTAAGGATTATTCACTAAATAGAGATAAAAATTTGAGGAAAAAGCTTGCTGCGACTGACCAGGAAGATTTTTTGGTGACAGAAACCGGAGGAGGAGTGAGACTAAAAATGAGCACTGGTATGTATGAATTTTTCAAATACGCAACTGAATGCTATTATTCCTCTGATAAAGTGAACTATACAAAGAAAATCATACCAGTTTGTGACAACAAAGGGAACCTCGTTGAAACCATATATAAAATGTCAAACGGGCGTGCAAGTATGTTTACTTTAAATATGTACCACACAACATCGTCTGCTCTTATCAATGGCCGGGATACAGGACATTTTATGAGCAATGATCTTTACGATATTCTACACTGCATAGAGTACGAAGTTCAAAAAGGAACATGTACCGTAGGGAATCTAAATAACAACATTAGACAGTTGATTTTAAAGCACCTTAATAATAAAAAGTGTGAGTCAGAACCAAGCCAATGCTCACCTTTGTCTATAGAGTGTAATAATTCAACTGATGTCGATGTTATTTCTAAATCAGACAGTGACAATCCTAATACTGATAACACCAACAGTAGATCTGATATTTCGGTACAGACTGAAACACAGTGTGATATAAACAGTAATTACATCGTTGATTTGTTACGCGATATAAAAATTGAATTGAAAATAGTGAAGGCTTC